CAGGCCAAGGTTCTTTAAAGAACAATTTCCTTACATGGCTCTTTGAAGATCCCATCAAAAACCATCAAAAATGGTTCTTTATGGCACCATTTCTGGTTCTTTGAAGAACTTTAACACTACTAACATGGCACCCCCTGTGGCGGACGTGTTTGCGACGTGCTCCCGACACAGACTTTGTTTACTGTTTATTTTAGTGTTAATGAGTGTAGTTAATATGCAGTGCTTGTACTCAAGGGTCACATACAGCAGAGAAACACTTCTGGACATTGGAAAAGTTTACCATGGGCCCAACCCAGACATTTTGGACTGCAGCCTTCTCCTGTGTTTGGATTCTACCATCTCCAGCCAGCGGGCTCGTGTGGGCACAGCAGCGGACGTCCAGTGCGCCGAAGACAGAGGCGGGCTACATGCTAGGCTAAAGGCTAGAGCTACATGACCACCGCTACGTAGCCTTCCTTTAGCTAATGTCCACTCTCTTGAAAACAAGATGGATGAGCTGAAAACCAGGATAACATTGCAACGTGAAATCAGAGAGTGCTGTGCTCTGATTTTTACGAAAACTTGGACTACTGCAAGTATGCCAGACTCCACCATTCAGCTACAGACCCACTCCGTGCACCACGGAGACCGCACATCTGCATCAGGTAAAAACAAAGCTGGCGGTGTGTGTGTTTATGTCACAACAGATGGTGTGCGGATGTTCAGGTGGTGGAGAAACGCTGCTGCACGGACATCGAAGTACTGATGGTAAAATGCAGACCCTTTTATTTACCGAGGGACTTCAGTGTTGTGTTTATGTTGGCTGTTTACATCCCACAGAGCGCAGATCAGACCACCGCCCTGGGACTACTGCACGACATGACTGGCAGAGACCACACACCCAGATGCCGTGTTTGTTGTTGCTGGGGATTTTAACCACCGTAACCTCAGGACTGTGTTCCCAAAGTTCCATCAACACGTGGGCCTTCTGACAAGGAACAACATCCTGGACCACGTCTACAGCAAGGTGAGGGGCACATACAAGGCTGTGCCCCACCCCCAGTTTGGACAGTCTGACCATATTTCTGTGTTCCTTTACCCAGCATACAGGCAACCCCTCAAACAAGCCCCCCTAGTAAGTAAAATTATAAAATTTTGGAATGGAGAGACTGATTTGGTGCTTCAGGACTGCTTTAATGCTACAAACTGGAATGTGTTTAAGACCGCTGCTTTGAGAGAGGATGGCTCTGTAGGTCTAGAGGAATATGCATCAGTTACTAGCTACATCAGCATGTGCATTGATAATATTGTCCCCACCAAGTGTTGCAGAATGCATCCAAACCAGAAACCATGGATGAATCGTGAGGTATGTTCCATGCTGCGTGTACCCTCCACTGCATTCACCTCCGGTGACGCAGCAGGGGTACAAAAAGGCCAGATATGACCTGTGTCAATCCATCAGGGAAGCCAAGAGGCAGTACAGATTGAGGATGGAGGGATACTACAACAACTCAGATTCCCGATGCATGTGGCAGGGTCTGCATCGCCGACTTCCAGCAGAGGAGCACTAGGGTCACAGCCAGCCACAACGCGCTACCGCTCAGCACCAACCAATGCAGAGGGATTCTACCAGCAGAGACAGCACAGAGCTCTTCGCTAACTGTGACTCAGACTGAGGTGTGTAAGATTCTGAAAAGGACTAACCCCCAGAAAGCAGCTGGCCCCGACATCATCCCCGGCCACCACAATACTGCCCATGCCCAACAAAAACAATATAACCTGTCTGAATGACTATCGCCCCATAGCACTCACTTCAATTGTAATGAAGTGTTTTTAGAGAATAGTTATGTCACACATTAAACAGGTCATCCTGAATACACTAGACCCACTGCAATTTGCATATCGCAAGAACCGTTCCACTGACGACACCCTTAATGCAGCCATTGACACAATCCTTTCACACCTCGAACACAAAAACACTTATGCTCAAATGCTGTTTGTAGATTACAGTTCAGCTTTCAACACAGTCATCCCAGACAGGCTGGCTGACAAGCTCTTCACCCTGGACTGACAACCCCCCTCTGCCGCTGGGTCCTGGACTTCCTTACAGACAGACCCCAGGTAGTCAGAGTTGGTACCAGGACATCAGGTACAAAGACAGTGAGCACAGGGACCCCCCAAGACTGCATGCTGAGTCCACTCCTGTACACCTACGACTGCGTCCCTCCCAGAGCAACACCGCCATCATGAAGTTCGCTGATGACACAACTGTCGTTAGCTGATCACCGATGGAAAAGAGGCAGCCTACAGGGAAGAGGTGGCTCAGCTGGTGTCCTGGTACCAGGAAAATAATCTCTCCTTAAATGCGGAGAAGACTAAGGAGATGATTATTGACCCAAGGAAGAGCAGAGACCAGCATGCCCCACTATGCATCAATGAGACACAGGTGGACAGGGTGAAAACCTTCAAACTCTTTGGCACCCACATCAGCGAGGATCTCGCCCAGACTCACAACACACAGCAGATCATCAAGAAGGCTCAACAGAGACTCTTCTTGAGGAAGCTGAGGAAATTTGGACTATCCTCCAAACTACTTACAGATGCACTCTTACAGATGCACAGTGGAGAGCATCCTGACAAACTCCATCACAGTGTGGTATGGAAACTGCACTGTCCAGGACAGAAAGGCTCCCCAGTCATGAAAATGGCACAATTTGTCTGTGGAGTAACCCTCCCCCCATTACAGGACATCTACGACACCCGGGTCACAAAAACGGCACTCAACATCATTAAGGACCACACCCACCCACAGCACACACTGTTCACACTCCAGCCGTCTGGTAGATGCTACAGAAGTGTGAAAGCAAGGGCAACCAGACTTAAAAATAGTTTCTATCCACAGGCCATCAGACTACTAAACCAGTGATTATCTGTCTCTCTGTACATATACATATTGGACAATGTGACAATACCTTGAATGTTTATACAGTATAAACATTTTTTGCACATTTGAAACTGTGACAATATTAATACTATTTGCACAATAATAGTCAACAAATCTGACTGTACATAATACTTGCTTTTTTTCTAAATTTATTTTTATTTATTTTAGTCAGTGTATTTTTGTGGTGTCAGGGCAACTCACAAAGTAAGAATTTCATTGCCTGTAACCATGTTTATGTTTGCTGTGCACATTATAATAAACCTCTTGAATCTTGAAAAGGAAGCTTCTCGTAAGAACCATTTTCAAGTTCTTTGTGGGTGCAAATAGTTCAATAAAGAACTTTTTTCAAATGGTTCGTCAGCAAAAAATGTTTTTTTCCAAAGAATTAATGGTTTATTGAGTAATAAATATTGGAATATTGAGTACAATGGAGACAAAAATGAAAATAGTAGTTTATTCTCATTTCATTTAATTAAAAATTTGCCTACTACGACTGCTCTTTGTCACATGAAAGCCTTGACATCCTCTAAATTTCAAGGTGGTCACGTTTAAAACATTGCTATTTTTCTCACTTTATGAAACATTTTTGAGTTGCATGGTTCTCACTGGACAATAATTAGACACCAGATTTCTAGGAAACTAAAAAAGGCTATGCATTTAAACAGTGTAACAATGGAATCGTACAAAAAATAAAAAAGTGTTCAGGAGAAAACTGTCCTTCTGTAAAATTGGAACCACAGAGCAACTGGATAATGGCACCTCTGGCCTTCAGACTTTGCTCTTCAGACACTGAGATAACATATTGCTGTTACAGCGAAATACCTTGCAACAGCTTATCTCACATAGGCAACTCTTGATAGGGACGAACTGAAGCAGATGCCGACAGGTGCTGCAGTTGCAGCAGGTGCCACAAATGCGAAGGCAGGGTGGAAAAAGACGCTGGAGGTGGGCTGGGTTAACAGATATTTCATTATAGTGATTTGTGCTTTATAACTGTGGATATTTTTTTTTAGAAACCACAGCAATAAATATGGGAGGAAGCGTTTTTATTGATATTTTTATCTTTGTTTTAATTTTTTGTTTACATCACCTAATGCAAGCCAATCATGACTGACTCGTCCAACCCATTGGTCTGACCACTTTACCCAGATGTTGCTGTATATGTGTATGTGCGCATACGTGTGTGTGCGAGTGAGTATGTCTGTCTCTTGGGGCACATTCTAGAACTCAGTAAACAGTAGTGCACTGATTGTTGCAAGTTTATTTTCTCATTTATATATAAAAGAACAGAAAAAAGTAAATAAAAACAGTTAACACATGCAGGTGGTTAGAAACCTAGAAAGGGCTTATGTTGGTATGTCACCCAAAGGAAAGAGTAAATATACCTAGATTTAAAAATACAACATGATGCACAGTAAAAATGTCAATAAAGATACATGTTTTCCACACAATCCACAGAGAGAAATAACCAGAACATCAAATAAATCAGTACTTTGGAGAAACACGGCAGCCACACAACACAGTAAGGATCCATACAGTACTGTACTCTGTACCATTAACATTAACATTAACATATCGCTGTCTAAAATAAACATAATGACTGGGTCATTTCAGATTAGAAACATGAAATCCCTATCTGTGCAGTTTTACAGGTAATATATCATGGTTGACAGCACCAAACACTTTGTAGAGATTCAGGTAAATACCACATGCAAACTCTTTCTTTTCTAAGGCAGTATTGACCCTATCTCCCAGTTCATAAGGTGCTGTGCTTTGACCACTTATGGCTGAATGTGGGTATGTAGAAGATATGAGGCTTATCCATGTACAAACAATTCCAAGCTGATTTGGGATTTATAAAAGGAAACTACGCACTGGCAGGCGTTTGCATGGTTTTATAAATCAGAATATTTTTTGGGTACATGCCATTTTCAGCTTTTGCCTGCATTCACAGTTTTAGTATGGATCCTACGCACTGTTTTATAGACCTTGGAGACCTCAGGACTATATGGTTGTTTCAATTAGACGCAAATAAAAGTCAGACTATCCTCACATCAGTTCTCTTGTCTCGTTGCAGGTGTCATTCTATAACTGTGTGAGGTTGTAGCCAATCAGCGCAGCGTCAGCACTGGAGGAGAGTGTACCAACAGTCATGGACCTAAGATTCAGATGGCTGTCGCCTCTTGCCACGGGAGGTTTTCATATCCTGCTGCTGGCCAGACTGGTGCTGCCTTCTTACACAGAGAGTGAGTGCTAATATTCCACACACAGCTTAGGGGTCTGCCCATATGTCATGAGTTTTACAGACAGGTAAGATTTCTTAGCTGCCATGGAGTCTGAAGAGACCTTTTGAAACATTTTAACCTTAATACATTATTATTATCATTGCATCAGTTTTAAGATTAAGTATTGTTTACTGATTACAACAGTATTACTACAGAAGCGTCAGGTAATAGCGTAAAAAGATACACTATCAGACATATGCTATGACGTGATAACATAATGTTATAACATAAAGGTCATATTTAAATGAAAAATTGGTGTTGGAAAACAGCTAAATTGAGAAATATAACTCGTCTACACAGCTTGATGAAGTTCTCCTTCATGCTGGGGTTGAGACATGATAAGATTTTGCCGTTATTAAAGGTGGTGGGTGATATGACTACAGTACTCATCCTTATCACAATATCATTCACTGCACTCAAAAGCAAAATCTTGCCATGTCAAAAAGCGCTCTGCAAGTGACACCTTCATATGTGAGTGTTCTGATTAATAAATGTATCCAATCAGTAGACGATTTAAGGGGGAAAGAGCAAGTGTACCCCTCTCAATAACCTGCAACCTTCTCTCAATCCCTTTGTAGCAGAGAGTGCAGGGGCATAGGCCATGACACTGTGGTAATGAAGTGTCTTCCTACTCTCTTTTTCCAGCTGACTGGGAGTAGCCATAGAACTAGTCAGAACTGATGTGCGATAACTAGCCTTCACCTGATGACACCTCTCTTATCCACCACACCCAAAGTCACCATTGAGACAATTGTTTATTCTTCGTCCATAAGGAAAATGTCAGTAGCTTGTTTTTAAGCCTCTTTGCCATTGCAATATTACTGTTGCAAATCAGTTAAAGGGATTAATAGATCAAATATCCAATGGGTAGTTCCAACAGCTGACCATTAAATATGGTCAGACCAAATTTAAATTCAATAAATCTACTCTGAGGTAAAAGATATATTAGTTTCATTTCTCCATACTGAATCTTTTAATTATCACATTTAATCCTCAAATTATGCAGGATGGCAACGGGGAGTATTGTAGTGCATATCGTTCGCACACTTGGCACAAAGTCAAACATGTTTTCAGTGTGTGTTGTCCCCTGCCAGGGTTGTCCCTTGTTACCGATTTTGTTTACAAAATTCATGGACAGGTTGCCAAGGCACAGCCCAGAGATGAAGGGGTCCAGTTTGGTGACCTAAGAATTGCATCTCTGCTCTTTGCAGATGATGTGGTTCCGTTGACTTAATCACACCATGACCTCCAGCATGCACTGGGGATGTTTGCAGCCGAGTGTAAAGCAGCTGCAGTGAGAGTCAGCACCTCCAATTCTGAGGAAATGGTTCTCTCTCAGAAAATGGTATATTGCCACCTCTTGGTTGGGAGAGAATTACTGCCTGAAGTGAAGGAGTTCAATTATCTCAGGGTTTTGTTCGTGAATGAGGGTAAACATGGAGCATTAGATGGATAGCAGTTTGGTGCTGTGTCAGTGATACAGGTGCTGCGCTGGACTGTCGTGGCGAAGAGGTAGCTGAGCTTTCAATTTACTGGTCCATCTATGTCCCAGCCCCCACTTATGGTTATGAGCTCTGGGTAGTGACTGACAGTATGAGACTACACATACAAGAGGTCAAAATGAGTTTCCTCTGTGGGGTGTCTGGGCTCAGTTATCAATACAGGGTGAGAAGCACAAACAGGAGTAGAGCCACTGATCCTTTGCAGAGAAAGGGGGCAGCTGAGGTGGTCTGGGCATGTGATTTGGATTCCTCCTGGGCGCCTCTTGTTACAGGGGTTCCAACTGGATAGAGGATCCTGGGCAGACCCACAACATGCTGGAGAGATTATATATCTCACTTGCCTGGGAACACCTGTGGATCCCCCAAGAAGAGCTGGAGAGCATTGCTGGGGAGAGGTACATCTGGAGTACACTGCACAGCCTCCTGTCGCTGCAACCTGGCCCCAGATAAGCAGATGAAAATGGATGGATGGATGGATGACAAATCTCTCTGTTTACTCTCATTCTCTCTCAGAAAATGGGCAACATGTACCTTCTTCTGCATTGATGATTCAAAGATGTGTTTAGAAGATTTGTCAAATCCAAAGTGGAAATTCAGAGGTTTACAGAGGTGTTTGTTGCGCCAATAGTGCACATTTTATCTGAAAGGTTTGCAGAGAATTCCTGTGCGTCTCATTGGTTTGTATTGTTCATTAGATTGCAGTGGCTCCAGAGGAATCCCATTCACAGACAAAAGCTCCTCATCACACTGATGTCTTACTGCATTGTCAGTTGTTTGTGTAAGAACACAAGTAAACTTCTATTAAATATTAGATATTGAGATCTTTTTCTGACCATGTCCACTTTACAAGGCTCTTATATAATTGGGGGTGACTTCAATTGCGTTCTAAACCCAGTACAAGATCGATCTACAGGCTGCGATACTTATATTATTTAAACAGTATATTGTGGATTTAAATTTGGTTGAAGTATGGAGAGAACATAATCCTGGTAAGATAGAATACTCCTGTCACTCAAGTGTTTGTAAATCCCGCTCTCTTATTGACTATTTTCTTGTTTCAAGAGAGCTTTTATGAAGGATTAAAAGTTGCTGGTATGATAGTATCGTAATTAGCGATCATGCTGCTATTTAATTAAGTATTCATATAACAAAACTCATTCACAGTCCCCCTAGCTGGAGATTGCAGGTTTGGTGGCTACATAACCCTGACTTTGTTAAACATCTAGGAACTAAAATAGATAGCTACTTTGAATTCAGTACAGATCAAACTAGTGCTAGCACAAGGTGGGAAGCTTTCAAATCATACATTAGGGGGGAAATTATTAGCTACACAAGCTCCAAAGCCAAACAACAAAGAATAGAGATGGAAAATTTGGAAAAACAAATAAAATCTGTAGAGACAGATTTAAATAAAAGAGACAATCCAACAAAACAAGGAGAACTGTTAGTCCTGAGAACCAACTACAATAAATTATCTGCAGATAAAGCTGCAAAAAGCCTATTGTGGCTGAAGCAATCCTACTACGATCAACGAAAAAAGCAGGGAAACCTTTGGCATGGAGAATCAAAAAAATGCAGTCGGATAGAGCAATTAACAGTGATCAGGAAGCCTAACAGTAGATCCAACGGAAATAAGTAACTGTTTTAGAGAATTCTACGAACGTTTATATAGATCAGAATGCTGTCAAGCCTGGGAACAACGGGACAAATTTCTTGATAAGTTACAATTTCAGACACTGACAGAGGATGTAAAAGAAAAGCTAGATAGCAGTCTTACAATTGAAGAGGTATCACAGGCTATCCAAAATATTAACAGTGGTAAAGTATCAGGGCCTGACGGCCTACCAATAGAATTTTACAAGATGTTTCGAGAAAAACTGCTTGTCCCACTCTTAAATATGTTCAACGAGTCCTATCAAAATGAAATTCTTCCACCCTCTTTAAGGTTAGCAATGACAACTCTGATCCTGAAACCAGGCAAGCCATCTACAGAGTGTTCCTCATTTAGACCAATAAGCCGTCTCGGAGTCGATACAAAAATCCTCTGTAAAGCGCTTGCCATGAGATTAGATCCTCATACTCCACACTTGATTCATAATGATCAAAACGGTTTTGTACAAATATGGCAAGGATTCTACAATATTCGAAGAGTTCTTAACATAATACACGAAAATTTGACACTAAGGATGTGGCAGTACTATCACTGGATGCTCAGCAGGCCTTTGACCGAATAGAATGGCCATATCTGTTTAATGTTTTACCTAGGTTTGGATTTGGAAATAACTTTTTGAAATGGATTAAAATTTTATATACTAACCCAACAGCCAGTGTCTTAACAAATGGTATAGTCTCTAAACCAGTTACCTTAGAACGGTCTACTCGCCAGGGATGTCCTTTGTCACCAATGCTATTTGTGTTGGCCATAGAGCCCCTGGCCAGGAACACAGACAGGCCTGTCGGGCATCCAGTTAGGGGGACAAGAACATCGAATTTCCCTGTACACTGACGACGTTATTGTTTTTTTAACAAACCTATCTGTTAGTATCCCAAACTTAATGCAACAGATTGAAATGTTTGGGAGATTCTCCGGTTACACTATTAACCACTCAAAATCATCAATATTATTTCTGAACAAGGAACAAAGATTGAAACCAGTCATAAGAATTTTTTGACAAGATGAATAGCAGTTTTAGTAAATTCATCTGGAATAATAAAAAACCCAGACTGAGACTTAGGCTGCTATACCTACCTTATGAGCGGGGAGGGTTAAGGCTCCCAAACTTGAAACTGTACTATTGGTCGGCTCAATTGCGTTCTGCAATGTTTTACTTTTCAACGGAGGCTTCTCCCTCCTGGATAAATATCGAACAGGCATCAATACTAAATCTCCCATTAAAGCTGTATCTATACTCTGCAGACCCAAAAAGACTGAAAAGAACAATGAAGAACCCTTTCCTCAAAAATACTATTGACATCTGGTATAAAGCGCATCAGCATATTCAAGACACTCCTCCCATATCCTATTTTTCTCCCATATGGGGTAATACATATTTCAGGGCAGGAAGAGCAGATGGCGGTTTTAGAATGTGGGCAGATAAAGGTGTTGGGAAAATAGGGGACCTTTATATGAATGGTAATTTTCTCACATTTGATCAGATGTGTCAGATTTATAACATTCCAAAGAAACATTTCTTCAAACATTTACAATTAAAACATTTCATACAATCAAACTATAAGCAAATGTTATCTAAACCGCCACCGCTATCGCATCTTGAAAATCTTACAATTTCACATTTGTGTGGGAGAGGTCAGATTTCTCTATTCTATACAGCTTTGATGTCATATGATAAGGAGTCTAGTATTGACAGGCTAGAGGCATGGAGACTTGATGTTCAAGAAGATATACATGAAACTGAATGGGAAATGGCATGCTTAAAAGCTCAAAAACAATCAATCAAT